GTACAAATGACTTATATGTGAGTGTGATACTATTTTACTAAAGGGGCTTGAGTGTCTGCACAGTGGTCCCGCCCCTAACCCCCCACAGCCACCAAGGGACAACTATACTCTGTTGTTGTCATCACAGTCAAGGACTGAGACCTTTTTCCCACCAGTCGTCTCCTCTAAGAAGTCCCATGTTCTATAAGAAGTCCTCTAAGAAGTCCCATTGCTTCTATACTGTACTAGAAACTTCCTGTAAGGAAGGTCAAGTGTGACCACCACCACGGCTTTCACGAAGAAACTGAAGGCCATGCATAGAGACTTCATAAGTCATGGTAATTGCCAAGGCCTCCTTACAAGCAAACTTGTGCTCTCTCTTTTGCTGTGTGTCACCCGGAGAGGAAAGGCAGCAGCTTTGCGATAAGCCTCGCTGCACCTACACAGCACCTGAAGAAATGATTTTAAAAGTGCATAAACTTCTAACATGGGTGTCTTTGTACAGATAGCAGGTGTCTCGGAAGTGGTTTTGTTCTCAGAAGCAAACTCAAACAGTTTGCCGAGGATCATGGATTTATATTCATTTCTGATTCTGAAATAGTGGAGGGTTTCCGAAGGCACTAGCCCTAGAGACCAAGGCAAAGAGCCTGAGTCCAGTGAAAGAAACACACAGGGAGGAGCAGGGAGATCTGGGCGTGGCAGCACACGCCTTTTAACCCCAGGACTCAGGAGGCAGAGGCAGGTGGGCCTCTGTGACTCTGAGACTCTCCTGGTCTACATAGTGTACATAGTGCATTCCAAGACAGCCAGAGCTATGCAGAGAGAATCTGTCTCCAAAAAAAAAAAAAAAAAGGGGGGGGGGGGAGAGAGAGAGAGGGAGGGCGGAAGGAGGGAGACCTGCAGCATTCTTATAGGTGGGGTGAAAAGTCAGTGCGCACACACACACACACACACACACACACACACACACACTCATGTATGCACACATGGAAAGAGTTCAAACTTGACATGGACTTTTAAGGAACCAACTAGAAAAATGTAGTCTAAAGAGAAAGTCCTTTAGAGCCAGATCTGCCTCCAACCCAAGCCCCATGCTTCAGATTCATTTTCTGTACAACAGAAATAGTCCAGTCCTATCATAGGGCTACCATGAAGCTTAAATAACATGCAATATACAAGTCTGGGGGAAGACTCAGTAGACAAAGCTCTTGTCCTGCCAGCATGAGGAGCAGAGTTCAGATCCGAGACCTACTTAAAAGCTGAGCTGGTATGGTGGCCACCTGTAATCCCAGAGCTTGGGGGTCAGAGACAGCGTATTTATTCCCAGAGCAAGCTGGCTAGCTACTAGCCAGAATCAGCTCCAAGTTCAGTGAGAGATCCTGCCTCAATAAATAAAGAGGAGAGAGATTTTAAAAAGACAAGTCAACTTCAGCTCCCCACATATACCTACACACGCGCACACACACACACACACGCACGCACACACACGCACACACACACACGCACACGCGCGCGCACACACACATGTACACACACATGTACACACATGCACACACATACACACACACACGCACATACACACATATACACACACATGTACACACACGCACACACATACACACACGTACACACACACACACACACACACACACGCACACACACACACTAACATGTACATCCACATATACACACATGCACACCAAAAAGATACAACGTGCTGTAATACGTCTTACAGAGTCTGACAAACACAATAAATGTCAGCTGCCTTCTCTCTCTCTCTCCTTCTCTGCATCTTTCTGGGTTTTTTTTTCCCCCTTTCCATTTTACTGACTTAAAATACAGCAGTTTAAAAAAAAAAAGAGTTCCTACATATTATATAGTCATTTACACATATGTATCTGTTACAGCACCATAATTTGAAAAGAAAAAAGGAAGTAGTAATTTTAACAGAAAAATACCAGATCGCTTGCATTGCCTGCTAGAACCTTTTGCGTTATAGTCTATTGGGGGCTATTTGCTCTTTGGGTGCAGATTCTGAAATAAAGGGAAAATTCTTGTGGTAAAAGCATCCCCCCAAAAAAGAACAGCCAACAAAGGAAAGATAATGAGGGGAAGTCTAGGGGCATATAAAGGAGTTTATTTTACTTAACAAAGTAAAAGTCAGCAAAATGAATAATCTGCCTCCAGAAATGGTTATTTAAAGGCATCTTGTAAAGGGCTCTGGTTCCTAAAAAGACAGGAGTCACTGCATATGCCCACCCACTCTTCATTTATTTTTAAACTCTAGCTTATATGTTCCTTAGCAACAAGAGGAACAGATGAGACCCTCCCTACACACACACACACACACACACACACACACACACACTCCTCCAAAGCCCCCTTCTTTCACACCAACTTTCATTCTACAAATATTCATGCTCTTCAAGATATTTCCACCTGCTTGAAAATCTCCACCTCACCACCTCAAATGATCCCTTACATGAAAGCTGTACCTCCCACTCCAGATACACACTTTTGCACAGAATCTGTCCCCCAAGGCCTTCCTGACTGCTCTCCATTAACTCCCGACACTCCCCATCCTAAGCTGTGCCCAGAACCCTCAGGGTCAGATGGAGGCAGGGGAGTAACCCCTGAAGAGCCAACACCCAACCCCAGACCAAACTGCTCCCTCACCAGCCTTTCTCAGAACCATCAGGTCCAGCGCCCGTCTTCTGAGTCCAGCACAAAGGCCACCATGACAAATAGGAAGACCATTTGCTCTGACTCTCAGAAACAAATAAACAGCAGAGACCAAAATACAGAGACTGCTCAGGATAAACACATGCTAGGTAGAAGAAGGCTCACTGCCCTTCTCGCCTTTGAGACTATGTGGCTTGGTTTGGCTGTGCAGTTTATGAGTTCTAGAGCCAACTATTGTGCCTTTAAGACAGCAACTCTCAGGTAGTGTGGTGTATAAGCATCACAACTAAGGAGTGTGACAACCTCCTCACCCACAGACAGTAGAGACTATACACCTGGGGATAGCAAGCAGTCTGACCAGCCACCTGAGGAACTGTGTGTGCCAGTGTCACTACCCTGGAAATGGTGAGGCTTTACTTAAAGAGAAATAGCATCCAAGAAATAAAAGTCACCACTGTGGGGTTCAGGACAGGCCAGTGTCTTGTGCTACTATTCTCTTGCCATTTGCACGCCTGTTTTTGTACCTGTACACACATCCATGTGCCTGTGAGAACACAACAGCCCAAGAGCTGCTGCTGCTGTCCCAAGAGAATGCTTTTTCTCCAGGAGAGAGGCTGGGAGAGTGACCCCTGCCAAGAGGCAAGCAGAAGAGATTTCCCTTGCAAATTCTGGCTTCACAGCCCTACCCAATAAGGAACCTCATGAATACCAATGACCCAGGAGCCTCTCTTAGCCTAGAAGCCCAGACCCACAATGTACTTCATATAATAACACACCCTACCCCCCCCAGCAATTTGCAGCTCCTAAATTAGGCTGGATATAGTTCCCGTTCCCCTAAGAGCCAGACAGACCATCGTAAGTAGAGCTGCCTGTGTCCTAGCATACCTCCCAAGAGCTACCCCACTCCCCACCACCTGCCTATTTTTAGAAACCGAAAATATAAAAAGAAAGATCCATTTGGATCTGATCTGTGTGAGTAACTAAGAGAACAACTCAGGTGGGGAACTCCCTCTGTGTGGAGAACAAAATGCAAGCAATGGATGCAGCTGCAACCGCCTGGCTATGAGGACCATTTAGGAAACAGCATATGCCGCTGGCATTTAGACACAGAGCACATGCCCTGGTGACAGGGGCCTCCAGTCCAGGCAATGCCTGTGGGGATCCCAATGACTCACACACCTGCCCCCATAAACAGAGCACACCCTCGCAACCCACACACCTCTGTCATCTGCTTTTGCTTACATAACAGCACATGGTGTGACAGGCTTAATACTTTAGATGGTTATTCTAAAAGGGACTGCTAACCCAAAAGGAAGAAGGCTCCAATGCTGTTTTCACCGACCCCTTTTCAAGTACTATGCTGAGTGAGACCCAGCAAGTACAAGCCTTCGTAAATGCATGCTGGGTTGTTGTCTAAACTTTTATAGACCCACCAGTGAGGGTGGTCTCTGCACCTTCTCGCTTGTCTGGGAATGGGAGAGCAGTGTAGGGAACCTATTCGAGCCTCACTTTGGTTCGAATCCTGACAGAGTCTGGGTTTCCTTAAACATAATTGGGTGGGCATTCATCCTACACTCTCCTTGTATCACAAACGCATCCGCCCTCAGGTGCCAGTGCAGTCTCTTCTAACCCTCACCCATAGCTTGGGAGTAGGCTGCCCACATCATCTTCTGGGCACACCGGGAGAAGAAGGGAACACATGTGCACATAATCCCAACACCCACTGACATGCCTCCAACTGGAGACCTATGTCTCACGGGTCCTGAACAGGGGGATTTCAAGACAAGAACTTCCGTAAGGATGGTCTCTTCTGTGTAAGGTTGTTCTTTCCTGCCTGTCAGATCAGATCTCAGCTATCCGGTTTGTGCCCAAGGCTCAGCCAGGGAACTCTGGAAGGCAGGGGAGTGCTGGAAAGGACACCAGCCTAGGGGCAACTTTGACGACTTTTCCTTAAAGGAGGCATGTCTGGGTCTGCACCCACTACCCATATACTCACAGAAGCGATTTTGATCTTGTCCTGACCTTAGCGTCCTCTACTGTTACAAATACACCCCCTCCCTGGTGTTGCAGGGACAAGCTGGGGGCATCTCGCTTCTTCCCTCCAGCCCAGAATTAAAGGATGGGAAGACAACAACACATATAGCCCGGAGAGAGGAGGGGAGAGACAGACAGACGGACGGAGAGCCAGAGACAGAAAGAGGGAGGGGGAGAGGCAGAGACAGGGAGAGAGACGGGGATACAGAGAGGGAGCGCCCTAACTCCACAGAAGTACCTTTCTGGAGCGAGAGCAAGTGTCCCCCGCCCTGGGCGGCACCTGTCTTGCTGGCTCCCGCGCCTACCTGTAAGAGACCTGCTTCCGGAAAGTTAAGTCCCTCAGCTTCTCCTCCAGCGCCTCTTCCTTCTCCTTCTGTCCGGCGGCCGCGGGCTCCTCCAGGGCAGCCGCCGCCGCCGCTCCTGCGCCCCGCGGGTCCGCACCGCCCTCGGCGCCTAGGCAGCAGCTCCCGGCGCCGCTTCCGCTACTGCTGCTGCCGCCCGTCGCCCCTTTCTCCTCTCCCGCCGAGGAGCTGGGGTTCATGGCGACCGCTCCGGCGGCCGCGGAGGAAGCCGAGGCGGTGCCGCTGCAAAGGCCGGGCGGGCTGAGGGCGCTGGAGGCGGCGGGAGCGCGGGCAGGTCCGCGCGCCGCTGGCAGGGGCAGCAAATGGCAGCCCCTTCCCGCAGCATCCATCCGCCGCTGCACCGCACCGGGGCATTGTGGGAAACTCCGTGCCTCCACTCCCCCTCCCCAACCAATCAGAGGCCACCTCTCTCCGCCTCCCCTCGGCCTCGCCCGACTAGCCGGCTCCCTCCAATTCTCCCACCCCCTTCTCCTTTTTCTAAATCCAGAGCAAAAGCCGCGGCTGAACTTGAACTCTGCCTGCAGGCAATGGACCGCAGTGGAGGGGAAGGGATGGGGAACCAGGGAGCTTGGGACGCTGGGGACGAACACTGGCCATTAGGAACGGAGAGTGTCCTGGGAAACTTGGAGGCAAGCCTACCGCGCCCTGGTTAGCTCACAAGGGAAGCGGACCCGGACCCAGGAGCTACTCTGCCCTGGCAGTGGCCGGTGAGCTGCTGGGCAAGGCTCGGTCTCAGTCCACTGATGCCAGATTCCCGAGGCAACATTTTCTCCGCCACCTCCTTGCAGCATCAGAGCAGGCTCCAGGCAATAACCTCCAGACGTGGGGGACCTTCGGGGGAATGTATCTGGAGCATTATTATCTGGGGGAACTCGTTAACCATGTGAATTATAGAGGGGGGCTAGATTTAAGCGCCAGCTGCTTTTTCTCAAGAAGAGTGTTGGGACATCTTCATCCATGAACGCCCTCGCCCAGATCCTCGCGTGATGCCTTCCAAAAGCCGAGATGCTCCCTAAACAGCTGTTAATTAGATTGAATCGGATCACAGGATCCTCCGTGAAGCAGAAGGCTGTGAGCATCCCTGAGGCAGAAGTGAAGACCTGAGATGCTTCCTGCTGTGGGTTCGCAAGAGGAGATGAGGGGCTGGTCCTGGAAGGGGCTTCTACCAGCTCAGAACCCAAGGCTGAAACCAGCTGCGCTGTAGGACTCTAGCGACTGCTCTTGATTCTTCTCTCCCTCCTCCCCTAGTCTCTTGTCTCTCTCTGTTTTTGTTTCTAAGATTATTGAAGTCTGTGCAATTTGAACGACGGGCTGCAAAGTGTTTAAGACAGATCATTTTCTAAATTAGAGGTTTTTCACCCAAGAAATTTCTGCTGTCGGCGAATGCAAGAAAAATCTATACTCAACAGTAGGTGTTGTACATATACGTGCTACTGAGGACGGAGGGGACGTCTGACTTTGCCTGAGCAGAAACAGATTCTTAGATTTCTCTGCCTTTCTTTTGCCACGACTAAAATTGGGAGCTTGAGCAAAGGTACCTCAGACCTCCTCCAGCTCTCGCAGACTGCATTTCCTCTCACAGTACATTATATAAGACAGTGGTGGGGGCATTTCCAGAGAGAAATGAAGAAAGAATTCCTGTTGAGGATCAGCACTTAACACCACACACACACACACACACACACACACACCTGTATTTTCCTAGCACCTTTTGAGTAACTTTCTTCACACCCAGGCTACTTGGTGGTGGCTGGTCTTCCTGCCTCCCTGGAATAGTGAACCCCATGTTCAGAAGAGACCTTTAACCACTTTCATGGTGAGATCTACAAACATCTAGATTTAATGTCAACTGCCCTAAATTCCTGGACCACCTTCCTCAGTATCGATAATCATCCCCAAACAATTTCTGCCATGTCCCCTTCTACTTTTAAATATTCCTAAAGGAATATCATCCTTGAGGTAAAGGTCGCATGGTTCTTGGGGTATGTGGCTGATCTTTCAAGGCCATCTGAGTTCATGGTGGAGGACTTGCCCACCTCTCCTTCACATCATCATCACAGCTTCACCTAGAGCTGGCTTATGTGCAAGCTTCATCTACTTCCTGCTCCTTTACACTCCCAACCTCACACCTCACCGCCTGCCGTCTCCTTTCCTGTCTCCAGTACCGGCCATGCTGTCGCCTTCACCTCAGAGTACATGACTGTCTCACCCAGAAGCCTCCGTTGATGAACCTTCTAGAATGTGCTGAGTGTACATCAGCAGGCTCCCATCATGTTAAGCTTGGAGCACAGGAACTGCTTCTTGTCAGTCTCTCCCAAGTGCATGTTGGGGCTAGATTATATCCTCTATTAATACACAGACTGTGCCGTATATGGTAGGCATGCATACCAAATGCTGTCATTGATTCTCAGAAAAGAAGTATATTCGGTTTTGAACATACAAAATACATCCAAATTGACTTTCTGTGAAAGCAACACAGGTTTGAACTATAAAACGCCACTTGTTAAAAATGACTTGCTAATAGATGGTGTTGGAGAATACAGTGAGTAGATAAATTGAGGAAATTTACCAACATCTATCAATATATGAAATGTATTACCTGATCCAAATGTTACGGCTCACACTTGTAATCCAAGAACTTACTAAAGAGGGGTAGGAAAATGTCTGAAAGTTACAGGTTAGTTAAGTTTATGTAGCAGGTTCCCGGCAGTAAGAGAAGAGAGGGGGGGAGCATTTCCTAATGCAACAATCCGCTTCTAGAAATTTTCCCTCTGTTTTTTTAGTAGGGATTCTCATAATACTTAAGAGTGGAAATAATGTGGTAATTCTACATTAACATTAATATATGACTAATTATCTATGAGGAATGAAATTCTCTTGAGCCATTTGGAGAAATGGGGGAAATTATATTATTATAAAATGATCTCAACTATAATAGTGTCAACTAAAAAAGAAAATAACGGTCAAGTAAAATGTTCAGCATGGTACCACAATAGAAAAACTAGGATCTGCATACACATGCACAGAACATATATGTCCATGCTTGGGAAGAGGTTATTGAGATATATTAAAGTGAGCATACATTCAGAAAAAAGAGGACGCTATAAAGCAAGCAGTGTGACTCAAGCAAAATTGAGCAAACCTAGCTAGACTCTTGAGATTTTGCATAATTCAATCAATATGTACTAACAGGCGACATTCTGTCTCCCAAGCTAATAGAAAAGCCTGCCCAACCTATCAGAGTTCATATTTGCATATTTAAAGACTGTTTCTGTGGGCTGCTAAACAAAAGAAAATGAGTTTTTAAATCTTGGTCTGTGCATATGTACCCTAAATTAAGACAGAGAGCCATCTGGGAGGCACAGATAACTAAAGCATAAGAAAAACAGCTTCCTCTATGGGAGGACCTTCTGAGAAGTTACTGGAAAGATTAGTGGTCATTTCAGACCACTTACTTTCCCTGATATTATACTAAACAAATTTGGAATTTTTCATTCAGTTTTCTATTTTCCTTCTTATCTACTGAGACTTGGAATTCCTCAACATGGACCAGAAGCATTCCGATCATAGAAAGGGACACTCTGTTTGAAAACATGTATGATTGTGAGTGACACAGTTTCAAACAGAGCATGAACACCATGTAGTACATGGAAACATCGGTCTCTGGATCCCAGATGAACTGTAAGCCTATCGTCAGACCCCATCCCATGGCAGAAGCTCCGTAACATACCTTCCTATTATCATTGCCCTTCAACTGAAGCAACTAACGTCCAAATCTTACAGAACTTGGTCCTCCAGATTTAAAGCTTGCTTTTCCATTATTTTCCATTTATTTATTTACTTATTGTGTGTGTGTGTGTGTGTAGGTGCTCATGTAAACCACAGGGTGAATCCAGTCTCTCCCTCCACCTCGTAGATCCCAGGAATCATTTCAGTCTTGGCAGCAATCTCTGGAGCTTTATAAAAGAGGCACGGGAGGGTGGGTTTTCAAAACAGAAAAAAAAATATTAAATGTGTACTTTGTTCTAAGTCAGTTGAGAAAGTGCCGGGGCTAGAAATTTACCAGCCTATAAAACTGCAAGGCAGAAGACAATGCAGCTAGTATTCCTGAAATAAGTATGCAGGAATTTTCATGTAATGACACAGGATCGTGTTTTGTAAAATGCAGTTGCACAAGCATGCATGCATTGAAGATCTTGGTTATTCATAGATCAAAAAAGAGTAATAAAGCTTTTAAAATGTGTATGGGAGAGACAGAAGGAAAGAATAAGAAATGGGGGGAATTACTGTAACTAAATACCTAAGGCAGGCAAGAGTCAGGAGTGAGAGAAGCTGAGGAGGGAGGGAGAAGATGGGTAGACAGTGGGCAAGGGAGATTTTTCTGGAGCTGCGTGTACCATATTCCACAAGTTAATGCCTAAAGTATTCACGAAGTCTGTAAGGCCATGCAGGTCTCCCTAAGATTGTTCATCTTCTACTCAGTGCCCCAACCACCTGTCCCTCACCCAGGCTGAGCCTACTCACACCTCTGGACCCTACCCTGGCTAGACCTCTACAGAAGGAGGCACAAACCTTCACAGTTCACTCCCCCCAAGGCATCTTAGGGACTATTTCTCTCTGAGGCAACATTTATGAAGAACCTAACCATGTGTTATTAGGTAGCTGGTGACAGCAGTTTAACAGGCATTTGTGTCCTAACTTCAGTAGCCATTTGAAAAAAAAATAATATGCACAAATTAAAACAAAAAGATAATGTGTACAAATAGGTTTTTGTTTTCTTTCTTGGAAACCAGATCCTGAGGCAAAGCCTGCAAGCCAGGCATTTATTAGTGCCTTAGCTGGGGTTTCTATTGCTATGACAGAGCACCATGACCAAAGTAACTTGGGAAGGACAGGATTTACTTCAGCTCACAGCTCTCAGGCCACACTCCATCACGGAAGTTAGGGCAGGAACGGCTACAGAGGCCGTGGAGGAGTGTGCTGCTCAATGCTTTGCCCCTTGTGGCTCGCTCAGCCTGCTTTCTTACAGCACCCAGGCCACCAGCTCAGGAGAGGCACCATCACAATGGGCTGAGTTCTCCTGCATCTACCATGAATCAAGAAAATGTTCTACAGGCGTGCCGACGGCCAGTCTGGTGTGGGCACTTTCTCGACTGAGGTCTCCTCTTCCAAAACGACTCCAATTTGTGTCAAGTTGGTATAAAAGTAGCCAACACAATTCAATCCCTTTCAACTTGACACACACCAACACTTAATTATTAAAACATAAATTTTCCTTTTTTGTTCATTCTCCACATTTCATATTAATATCAAGATCACACTGTAAAACAATGAGGAGTTACAATCCAGGAACCCAGAAATGCAGAGACAAGGAAAGTGTACTTATCTGTGCTGTATTGCTATAACTAATACCCAAAGCAGGCAAATGTAGCAGAGAAAATGGCTTATTTGACTCATAGT